ATGAAAAATGTCAAGAAATATATAACTTTAACTCGGAATTACTCAAATTCTATTCTATCAAATAACTTTTTGTTGTTTTATCTAGACAAGAAATGATTGGAGCTAGTTAATTCAGTTTGATTTATTGTTGTCACATGTACTGAGATACAGTTAAAAAGTGTTTTGTGTGTTTTACAGGCAGATCGTAACATGCAAAGTGCATCATAGTAGCAGAACAGAGTGTAGAATACAGTGTCATAGCACAGAAAAGGTGCAGAGAGAGAGAGAGATCAGAATTAACATTTGAGAAGTCCTTTTAAATACCTGATAGGGAGCAGGGAAGAAGCTTTTCTTGAATCTGTTTGTATGTGTAATCAAACTTTTATATCTTCTGCCTGATGGAAGAGGGTGGGAGGGGCCTTTGGTCATGTTGGTTGCTTTCTCGTGGCAGTGAGAAATTGATGGAAGGCTAGTTTGCATGATGATCTGGGCGGGGTTCATGACTCTGCAGTTTCTTGCAGTCTTGGGAAGAGCAGTTGCCATGCCATGCTGTGACGCATCCAGATAGGATGCTTTCTATGTGCATCTTTAAAATTGGTAACAGTCCTTGTGGACACGCCAAATTTCCTTAGGCTTCTGAGGAAATAGAGACATTGTTGTGCATTTTTGACTGTCGCATCAGTGTAGGTGGACCAGGACAGATTGTTGGTGAACATCACTCCCAGGAACTTGACACTCTCAACCATCTCCACCTCAGCATCACTGATGCATACAGGAGTGTGCCCTCTACTCCGCTTCCTGAAGTCAATGACCAGCTCCTTCATTTTGTTGATGTTGACGGAGAGATTGTTGCCTTTGCACTATGCCACTAAGCAATCTTTTTCCTGTATGCTGTCTCATTGTTGTTTGAGATCCAATCTACAGTGGTGGTGTCGTCAGCAAACTTGTCAATGGAGTTGAGGTGGAATTAGGCCACACAGTCCTGTGTGTGTAAGGAGTAGACTAAGGGGCTGAATATGCAGCCATCTGGGACATCAATGGTGAGGATTATTGTGATGGAGTTATTATTGCTTATTCTTACTGATTGTGGCCTATGGGTCAGGAAGTCAAGGATCCTGTTGCAGAGGGGGGAGCTGAGACCTAGGTCCCTGGCCTGGACAAAGTGGATGTTGGGAAGATGCTTCCATTGGTAGGACAGTCTAGGACCCGAGGGCATAGCCTTAGAGTAAAGGGAAGACCTTTTAGAATGGAGATAAGGAGAAACTTCTTCAGCCAGAGAGTGGTGAATCTATGGAATTCACTGCCACAGAAGGCTGTGGAGGCCAGGTCAATGAGTACATTTAAGACTGAGATAGATAGGTTCTTGATTATCTAGGGGATCAAGGGTTACAGGGAGAAGGCAGGAGATTGGGGTTGAGTAACTTATCAGCCACGATTGAATGGTGGAGCAGACTTGATGGGCCGAATGGCCTAATTTCTGCTCCTATGTCTTATGGTTTCAGAGTTTGGAGATGAATTTCTTTGGAATTATGCTGTTGAAGGCAGAGCTGTAGTCAATAAGTAGGAGCCTAATATAGGTATGCTTGTTATCCAGATGTTCCAGGGATGAGCTTTGGGCCAGATGGCATCTGCTGTCGACCTGTTGAATCGGGAGGCAAATTACAAAGGATCAAGGGAATTTGGTACACTGGAGAGACCATATCTGGAATACTGTTTGCAATTTTGGTGTCCATGGCCCAGATGTTTGAGGTTATGCCACCTGAAGAGTTGGCAGAGAATGACAACCCGTTGCATGCAGGTAATTTAGTTTAATTTTGAGTGTGTTGGCTCATTTTACTTTGGGCAAATAATTTTGATTATGGCAACAGCTTCTAGTTGGTTGACTTTGTCCACACAATGCATTACAATTCACAATACTGAAAGCCTTTGCATGTTTTAGTTGGAAATTGTTCAACTCTGAGTCTTAACTCAGGTCTGTCTTGCTGTGAACATCATGTGTCAACTTACATTTACACGAGTCTCTCGCATGCTCCTTGCAGTTGTTACCGTACTACTACACCGGCCTTTTGTTTGGTTGTGCCTCGTTGTAACCTCTGGCTGCATCTTTGGAGTGAGATTTCTTGCACGGGCAGGCTCCATGTATTTCACACATCTTAGAATGCAGGAAATCTTTATGGTGGTGTGATCGATCACATGTGTCTCACAGCTTGTTACTTTTTGTGTCCTGTTTGCTGCACTAATACTTGTAACCACTGCTTTCTGGCCACATGGCTTTGTATTTTCTGCTCTGCTGGCAATGATAAGTCCAAAAAGTTTTTTGGAATGCTATGATAGATGTTGAGGCAATGACCAACCCCATTATCCACTCCAAAATTTCAGCTTCTGAAAATTTGCGTTTGTTGCCCTCTTACAGCATCTACTGACAAATTACTCAATTGATGCCATCTTAAGCCTGTATAATATAAATTCTAAGCAATGAATTCTAAACTTGACTCTACATGCAACAGATCTTCTAACACTTTTCACATCATTGCAGGATCTTTCTGATGCTCTTCAGATAACCCTGAGGTATTGCGTCTGTGTAACTTCTCATTACCAATGGCTATCAATATCTTCATGGCCTTTTTTACGAGTTGTCATAGGATAAGGTATTGCATCTCCACCCTGATCATATTAAGTAGCACTACAATGGAACTAGTTCACAAATTCTGCTACCTTGGCTTGACTCACAATCTATCCCTTGATGCGCAGCTCAATACATGCATAGGAGAAGCAGCGAGTACCTTTGGTAAACTCGCAAAACATACACAAGACAACACTAAGCTGATACTTAAGACCAAATTGATGGTAAATAATGAAAAACTGAAAGAACTGTGAATGCTGTAGATCATAATGATGGTAAATAAGACTTGTGAAGCAACTGGCTCTTGTGGCACAATGGTCAACTCGTACCTGTGCAAAAAATGTGTAATAACATCTCTGAAGAGGTTGGGTGACTTATGGCTGCTGTGAACATTAGATTAATAATTTCCATCTTCATTTGTAGCACATTATGGGTATATCCTAACTGGACAAAAAAAACGAATACTGCAGTCCTGTCAAATGCAGAGGTCCAGGTGTGTGAGCACCAATCGAACAGGCCAGTTTGGTGGATTGGACATATATGCAGAATAGAAGAGGGATGTGCACCCAAAGACTTTCAGTATGGAGTGATAGCTGAAGCCAGACATTCAGTGGGGCTCCTAAGGTTCTGTTTCAAGAAAGTTTGCAAGAATGCTATGAAAGTCCTAAGTGTAATTAGTAAGTTTTCACATGACACAAAAATTAGAGGTGTAGTGGACAGCGAAGAAGGTTACCTCAGAGTACAATGGGACCTTAATCAGATAGGCCAGTGGGCTGAGGAGTGGCAAATGGAGTTTAATTTAGATGAACGTTAGGTGCTGCATTTTGGAAAGCCACACCTAGGGCAGGACTTATGCACTTAATAGTAAGGTCCTGGGGAGTGTTGCTGAACAAGGAGACTTTGGAGTGCAGGTTCATATTCCCTTGAAAGTGTAGTCCCAGAAAGACAGGATAGTGAAGAGGGTGTTTGATATGCTTGCCTTTATTAGTCAGTGGATTCAGTAGGAGTTGGGAGGTCATTTTGCAGCTGTACAGGACAGTGGGTAGGCCACTTATACTGTGTTCAATTCTGGTCTCCCTGCTATAGGAAGGATGTTGTGAAACTTGAAAGGCCACAGTAAAGATTTACAAGGATGTTGCCAGGATTGGAGAGTTTGAGCTATAGTGAGAGGTTGAACAGGCTATTTTCTTGAATGGGCTATTTTCCCTGGAGCGTCAGAAGCTTAGGGGTGACTTTATTGAGGTTTATAATATCATGAGGGGCATGGATAGGGTAAATAGTCAAGGTCTTTTCCCCCAGAGTGGAGGAGTCCCAAACTAGAGGGCATAGATTTAAGGTGAGAGGGGAAAAATTTAAAAGGGATCTAAGAAGCAACATTTTCACGCAGAGGGTGGTGTCTGTATGGAATGAGCTGCCAGAGGAAGTATTGGGTCTGGTACAATTACAGTATTTAAAAAGCATATTTAGAGGAATATGGACCAAATGCTGGCAAATAGGCCTAGATTTATTTAGGATAATCTGGTCGGCATGGATGAGTTAGACCGAAGGGTATATTTCTGTGCTGTACATCTGACTCAATCACTGCAAATGTGACTAGATTAATTTACTTGGGCATGGACAAGATGGACCGAAGGGTCTGTTTCCATGCTGTATATCTCTATGACTCTACAACCAGAACTTCTTTGTCTGAAAATAAATAGAACTTTCCTCACAGAGCCAAATTTCATAAACTTTCAGCCATCCCTATTGGCTCGAATACCAGTATGTAAACAAAAATTCAACTAACTATAGAGTTGAGGATGAAGGGTCATAAGGGGAAGATGGTACCCAGAGTAGAATTGTTACTAGATGAGTTATCCAGAACAGAAGGGTAATGTTCTGTGGACATAGGTTTAAATCTCACTATGGCAGATAGTGAAATCTGAATTCAATAAAGAAAACAGAGTTTTTGAAGAAGGGTCCAGACCCAAAACGTCAGCTTTCCTGCTCCTCTGATGCTGCCTGGCCGGCTGTGTTCATCCAGCTCTACACCTTGTTATCTTAATAAAAAAATAACTAGCCTAACGATAACTATGTTGTAAAATCACATCTGGTTCACAATTGCACTTTAGGGTGGGACATCTGCCATCTTTTCCTGATCTGGTCTGGTAATCACGCTGTCTATACTTTGGGTTCACTACCTTCCTCAATTCTTTCATCGCATGGATGCAACGTGCGTCACATCTGTGAAGCGCCTTTAGGCATGTTGCTGTGTTAAAAGCACGTTATAAATGTAGGTTGCTGTTGAGTAAGTGATGAAGTACACTGGGACAAAGTGAAACGAAAACCCGGATAGCTTGATCCGTTTCAAAGTATGTCTGAAAAACATAGAACATGTCCATAAGGCCTTGCAAAAAGTACCAAATTCATTAATTTTATATGAGGAACTCGTTTCTCTGCTGCTGATCAAGTTGTATCTCTGGGGGGATTAGACAGGAAATTGTGAACTCGTTGCGACACCAGACCTTGTATTCACAATTCGATTGGACGTTTAGTAGAAGTCACAACCTGTAATAATTTCCACGGAGGCTCATCATGACCACGCAATAACGTTTACATTGAAATTTCTCCCCCAAGAATCTTCTGTTGATACACCGCACTGCGGCTACTTTGCTCCCACCATCACAGTACGTGCGTGCAGACACGATGCAGGATCTTGTCAATCATAACCTGATCCTCATCCCCACGGCTGATCCCGCCTTCGTAGCATTAAATGCAGTTAAGTACGTGATGTATTATGACGCAGCCTATAAATAGTGGCCGTCAGGCAAGGGTGTGGCCTATTGCAGACCTTGGTCAGAGACGGTAGTAACGAAGTGGTAAGTTGTAGTGAGACATGTAGCAACTTAAATTTGCAGCCACTGAGCAATGATATTTGATCAATCAGTACGTTTGGGACATAGTAAATATTGCATCCCTATTTAATACAATACGTTATACTTGCATAAAGTTAAATGTTATATGTAAAGAATTAAATATAAATCGGTATTGTAGATTTTACTATATTGCATTACTGCTAAAGTGATTGTGTCACTCTTTTAGCGGCATTCTAAGTCTTACCCAGTTGTATTTTTCCATTAGCAGAACAGCCTTTTAAAACATTTAATTGATGTAATTATTGTGTCGAGTACAGTTCTTGGTGAGATGGCGTACCCAGGGATGTCCTTTCCTGTAAATCGAAACAGCAGTGATATTCTCGGTCACAATTTGGAAGTCGCGTTGGGAGTGAGGGTTTAGAAAGAAATCCAGTTGAGTCCCCGCCGCGATCTTGCTGCTGACTGGCGATGGTAGCGTATTTCTGTCGCCCCGGGCGCCCAGCAATATCAGCGGCACGTTCGCGCTACCCTCTGCTGTGTCGTGAGGCACTCACGTGCATATTGTAAGATGTTGCGGCAAATGCAGCCGAGCTGGCTTTCCTGCATGGGTTGGATACCCATGTTCTAAATCATGCAGTTCATGGTAAATTCCGATGTTCGAGCTCTGATGAAGAGTCATCTAGACACGAAACGTTAGCTTGCTCTCTCTCCACGCATGCTGCCTTACCCGCTGTAATCTAGTCATACGGCACAGAAACAGACCCTTCAGTCCAACCTATCAGTGATGAACATCATTCCAAACTAAACTAGTCCCATCTGCCTGCTCCCGGTCCATATCCATCCAAACATTTCCTGTTCATGTACTTATTCAAATGTCTTTTAAATATTGTAATTGTACCCACATCTACCACTTCCTCAGGAAGTTCAATCCACATGGCAACCGTCCTCGGCGTAAAAAAAAGGTCGCCCTCATGTCTTTTTTTTTAAAAGCTCTCTCCTCTCACCCGTAAAAATGTGCCCCCAGGGCTTGAAATTCCCCCATCCGAGGGAAAAGACAACTACCATTAACTCTACCTACATCCCTCATAATTTTATAAACTTCTATCAGGTTGCCTGTCAACCTCCTACACTGCAGTGAAAAGAAGTGCCAGCCTATCCAGAGATAGTAGGAACTGCAGATGCTGGAGAATCTGAGATAACGAGGTGTAGAGCTGGATGAACACAGCAGGCCGAGCAGGAAAGCTGACGTTTTGGGTCTGGACCCTTCTTCAGAAATAGGGGAGGGGAAGGGGGTTCTGAAATAAATAGGGAGAGAGGGGGAGGGGGAGGCGGATAGAAGATGGATAGAGGAGAAGATAGGTCAAAGAGGCAGGGATGGAGCCAGTAAAGGTGAGTGTAGGTGGGGAGGTAGGGAGGAGATAGGTCAGTCCGGGGAGGATGGACAGGTCAAGGGGGCGGGATGAGGTTAGTACGTAGGAATTGGGGGTGGGGCTTGAGGTGGGAGGAAGAACAGGTTAGGGAGGCGGGGACACGTTGGGCTGGTTTTGGGATGCGGTAGGGGGAGGGGAGATTTTGAAGCTTGTGAAGTCCACATTGATACCATTGGGCTACAGGGTTCCCAAGCGAAATATGAGGTGCTGTTCCTGCAAATCTTCGGGTGGCAACGTTGTGGCACTGCAGGATGGACATGTCGTCTGAGGAATGGGAGGGGGAGTTGAAATGGTTCGCGACTGGGAGGTGCAGTTGTTTATGATGAAGGGTCTAGGCCCGAAACGTCAGCCTTCCTGCTCCTGTGATGCTGCTTGGCCTGCTGTGTTCATCCAGCTCCACACCTTGTTATCCCAGCCTATCCAGGCTTTTTTATAACTGAAACCTTCCATACCTGGCAAATGTCGTTTTTTTGTTGTCGGTGCAGATTCCAGCATCTGCAGTAATTTGCTCCTCTGATGTTCAGAGTTGTTTCAAAAACTGTGTGAAGTCATATGGCATTAACCCAGGAGGCACAATGAAATGAGGAAAAGGGTTTTGTGCTGTTTTGACCATTTTGAGACTAGTGGGTACTAGAGAGATCTGGCTATATTGAACATGAGTGGCTGTAATATTAACTTTTGTAAGGCTAACCATAACTAGCATCACTGCTAACCTGTATTTTCAGAAGGAATTCAAGATAATTGAACTGATGGAAATCAGATGTTTGTTTATTTGAAGGATTTAGATTATTGCATTATTAGCTTCAGAGCCATTAGCCTTAGTGGTGATCAAGGTAACAGTTAACACAGGAACAGTAAATTTGGAATTCTTCAAGGTAGTGATGGTGAATTTAAATTTCTGTAAACTCCGGATTAATGAGAAGTTTCCCCCATGTGAAATGATTATGGAATGGGTTTTTGAGACAGAAGCTTGAAATAAAAAGTGAATTGTTAGTTAACTACTATAATGGTCTATTTGTGAATGGATGCACTGCCGTCTTTCCTTTTTGGATATTTTTGACTGCCCTGTGATTTACTGACTATTGAAAATTTTCAATTATGTCAAATCTTTGGATTCTTCCTGCTTCTGCTGTCTCACTGGGCCCAATTTTGAATGTAAAAGTTTGAATCTACAGTATTATTATATGTAAAACTTTGGTATGAATCCTAATTAGATAGGTCAAAGGTTTCTGTGACTTTTTTTAATATAAAGCCTGCTGAGTCATGATCTTTGGTTAGAATTGCCCAGTAGGGCCAGGCCACCATGTAACTGGTAACTCTGACGATAGCAAGAAAATTATACCACAGAAGGGAATCAGTTGGCCCATTGAAGCTATCTATGCTGTAAGCATATTTCATTTCTTTTGCCTGAATCCCTTTTATGTAGGCTTTTTCTTCAAATATTTATGTAATTTAAGTTTTAAAAAATATTAAATATACAATAAATGTCCAAAGGTAACTTAGTCCTACGTTTTTAAGAACATTTTCTTTTTCAATCTCATTCATTGGTCACCCTGCATGGAGCATTCTAGAAAAGCAGGGGAAACAACAACATTTAAAATGGGTGATCAACCTTGCTTCCCTGTTTAGTAACATTAAACTTCCCCTTTTTTTGGTCAAGTCTTGTTTTGTACTTAAATAAAAGCAAAATGCTGTAGAAGCTGGAAACCTGCAGTAAGACAAATTGCTGGTAATACTCAGTGGATCTGGCAGCATCTATGGAGCAAGAAACAATTATTATTTCAAGTTGTGTATATAACTCATTTTTAAAACTCTAACTGTCACCAGTTAGCTTAGTGAAGCTGTTAATTACAGCAGGATACAAGGCTGCATTTTGTACTCTAATCAGCTGCTAACAAAAAATAAAATTACGGATTGTATTGATGTGCAGTTTACCTCTTTAAAGTTAAGATTAGTGATAATTTGCCATGGTGATGCAGATGTAATAATATCAATGTAAAAATATCATAAGGTTTATTACGCGGTGCTGATGAGTCACCTTCCACTGAGTATTCTTTGCAGCTTTCTCTTCTATTTGTGAATGACAATAGCAGAATGTTGGTGATTGTTTGAACTGTATCAGTTAGATTTTAAGTGGCAGTTACTGTGCTCAACTTAAAGTATTGCTGTCTTTGGCAAGATCATTGGAAACAGGAGGAATGGCATAGTAGGGACATTTAAATGAAATCATTGATTATTCCTGAATATCTGGTTCACTGCTTATTTCAGAAGACTGTGGGTGACACCTCAGCGGAGTTATCTGTTAACTACAATGCTTTTGCAAACACAGTTGAGTGTAATCTGGAAATGGCCTTTATGCAATAACGACCAAGCTTTTTTTCAGTCTTGTGTAATTACCTACACAATGACTGATGTCAAATGGCCACTGAAACATTACCAAATTATGTACATTCCCTAACCACCACCCTCCAGAAACAGATCTTTGCTTAGATAGTGTTTAGCCAACTTACATTTTTTTTCCCCACATTTCCTTCCTGCTTTATCCCACCACTCCCTTCCTTCCCTGACATGCAAGAACAACTGACCTCGAGCTGCACATGTATAATCAATATCTGCACTTGCTATTGTTTATCCCATAGCCATTCTTTGAGTGACGATAATGAAAGAGTCTTATAAAAGTTATTATTCATTGTGGTTTTTTTTGTGATACGGTGTTTGTAACAGTTTAATGGAGATGGACATTGAATACAGTGGTACTGTTTCTTATTGCATAATGTATATAAATCTCTTAGTTTCCAGAGTTTCTCAACAGCCACAATGTGTCTCTATATATACTGCAAGGTGGTCGGTTAGCTTAGTTGGCTGGATGGATGACTTGCGATGTAGGGAGGGAATGAGAAGAAGAAACAGATACCAGGTCAGGGTTGGAAGATGATATGTGTGCTTGAAAAATGGTAATTGGGAGATTCTTGGATACCAAACAACAGTGGATATATAGGGTAGGCTGAATGGAGAATGACAGATAAATGCTAGTTTTGGTACAGTTATGTAATTTAAACATTAACATTTATCAATGTAGCATGAGGGAAGTTGTACCTGGAAATGGTCAAGGCATGATCATGGGGTATGGAACTGATGGGATAGAGATGAGAGGTGGAATTAAGCAATCTGAGAAATTTTCAATTCTGAAATTTGAAATCTAAATTGAAGCAAAATTTCGTTGCGTATTGACAAGCAGATGGGAAGAGCAATGCCATTATGGTTGGGGATGTGGAAATGTTTGAATGGGGAAGTAATTAGCATAGTTGGAAAAAAATCTGGCTACTGGGCTGGAAAAAGCTTTGCATCTATGCATTGATATTGTACAGCATTGCAAACCATTGAATTCAGTGTGGTGATAGAAATACGGCTGTATATAGGCTTATATCTGGAACTTGATTTTCATCCAGTTGATGGTGTGCAAAAACAGCATGTAGAGAAGGAGGAGGAGGACTGCTGTGAATTGGGCTAGATATTGTAGGGGCAACTAAACTGTAGTTGTATGCTGGCTATGTTGGATTAGGAGAATAGGACAATGGAGTGTCACAGTGGGGGTTGAGTGCATAACTGAGGAGGCTGAAGTGGTCTCCCTGACAGATCATTCATGCATATGGAATGTAGTATTCCAAGCTGCATTTGTCCATACTGTAACCTTCACCATACGTGCTCTGTGACCAGGAGGGTCAGTAACTGAAGAGCACAGACTTAAGATCATTCGCAAAAGAACTGGAGAAGAGCCAAGGAAAGAAAATTAACTGTCACTCCCAAATAAATACAATCTACCCCCGTGAAGTCACAGGCACCTGCAAACGATGAATTGTGAAGTCTTCATTTCACCAAATCCATATACAACATATAATACTGGCCATGTAAGCATGTGCAGGGTGGCTGCAAGGAACATAAAACAATAAACCCATAATAACAGGTTTAGGCTTTGGGGGTGGGCTGAGATGAATGCCCGGAGTTTCAGAATATGAAGCAAGAAGCCAAAAATAAAATGAATCTAAACAGGTTGGGAAAATGGCTGCAAATAATATTCAATATGGACAAATGTAATTTCATGAGATGAGGTAAGTGGAATGAGCAGTATCATTATGAATTAAGTTGCCCTAAACTGCAGTTTACATTGGAGAGGGCTTGGATGTTGCTGATGGAAAGCCTAATGCAACGAGCAGTACTGTGTGGCAGTAGCAAGGAGAGTGAGTCAGATTTTGGAATGTATTACCGGCCTGAGATAAAACAGATCTGAGGTGGCAAGTCTATAGAAAAAAACTTGTACTGCCACACCTAGACTCTGCAAACAAGTTTGGTCAGTGCTTGTGAAGATATCTAGGGACTGAATAAATAAAATATCTGGTTTGAGAGACCAGAGTTAAAGTACAGAGAACCTAAGAGTTATTTACTGTGGGAAAGGCTAAGAAAATATTGTTCAAGAAGTGAACAGATGGCTGGACCTCTAGTGCCTATAGAATTGATTAAAACCCTCCTGACAGAGATTCAAGGACAATGGCCCTTGGCAAACTTCCAGGTCATTTTTGGAGCCCCTGTCTTTTTCTGTTTTGGGGACTAATAGTTTTTGACATAAAGCTTTCAGCAAGAATTTGAAATTGTCATGGGGAATGCTGGGAAGATGAAGGGCAATTTGAGCTTGGTATTCTTTCTAAAAGCAGGTTTCAAGGGAAACTGATTGCAGGATATGAAAATCAAATGGAGTAAATTTAATTAAGTGAATCATACAGGCTGAGAAGTTGCATCAAGCCAATCTGGACAGAAGGACCAGAGGATGTACCTTTTAAATTGAAGTTTGCAGCTTGTTACAAAATATATTTCTTTATGTAACTTGTTATATAATTAAGGAAAATAATGTATTTATACACATTGTAGAGATCATTCGACTTCAATATTTATCAGTTCTCCTCACTGATGTAATGGTGTGCTTCATGGAATGTGTATAAAGTGTATGTTGAGTTGATGTGAATTACTTTTTCCTTAGCAGCAAAAATGGCAACACTCAAGGAGAAGCTGATCACGCAGACGGCGACATCACAACCCGGTCATTCAAATAACAAAATAACAATAGTTGGTGTGGGTGCAGTTGGAATGGCATGTGCTATAAGCATCTTATTAAAGGTAAGATGGAGTTTGGATGATAATGTGATAGATCATATACAGTTGCTAGTTTTTCTTCTGATTTAGTTGAGTCTACCCTTTAGGGACTGCTCTTGGAAAGCAGTATTGAGTTTCTATCATTCTGAGACCGTCCTAGGATGGGTGACCTTGTGTGCCATGGATTGATACCACACGCAATCATAGTCAGAGTCATACAGCACACAAATGGACCCTTCGATCCAACCAGTCCATGTCAAACATAATCCCAAACTAAACAATCCCACCCGTCTGCTCCTGGCCCATATCCCTTCAAACCTCTCCTATTCATGTACTTATTCAAATGTCTTTTAAATGTTGAAATTGTACCCACATCTACCACTCCCTCAGGAAGTTCATTTCACACATGAACCATCCTCTGTTTAAAAAAAAAAATTGCCCCATATATCTTTTTTTTTAAAATCCCTCCTCTGACCTTAATAATGTGCTTCCTAGTCTTGAAATCCCCCATGCTAGGGAAAAGACAACTACCATTAACTCCATCTATACCCCTCATAATTTTATAACCTTCTTTCAGGTTGCTTCTAAACCTCCCAACATTCCAGTGAAACAAGTCACAGCCTATCTAGCCTTCCTTTATAACTCCAACCTTCCATACCTGGCAACATCCTGGTAAATCTCTTCTGAACAGTCTCCAGTTTAATAATATCCTTTCTATAACTGGGTGACTAGAACTGGATACAGTATTCCAGAAGAGGCCTCACCAACATCCTGTATAACCTCAACGTGACTTTTCAACTTCTATACTGAAAGGACTGAGCAATGAAGGCAAGTGTGTCAAATTCCTTTTTAACCACCCTGTCTATATGGTTGAATGGTTTTGAGCACTCTTATTTCCCCTAAATGTCACCTTTTCATGGTCAACCCTCCTCATGATGTTGACTAACAGATGGAGTCCAGCCCCTTCCCTTGCCCCAGTTGTCTTCAGAAGGCAGAAATACCAGGTTGTGTAACTGCATGGTTTTGGCAAGAGTCATCAGAAACATCAACTTTTGCTAACTTTTCCCACTTAATTTCTAGAGAAACTAAGACATATTGTAGTGCTTACACTGCACCTTTGCATTTGTATAGTATCTTTCACACCTCAGCGTCCCCAGGTACTTTACTGGGAACAGTTACCTTGAAGCACAAGCACTGTAATAGTAAAGGAAATAAAGTAGACAATTTAGACACAGCTCCCAGAATATCAATATGGTAATGGGTGCATAATCTGTTTTTTGATGTTGATTTGATGGTTAAATATTGACCAGTATCCCACTACTAACTCACCTGAGTTTCTTTGAAATAACAGCAAAGGATTTTTATATGCATCTGACAGCAGGCAGGACCTTGGTATAACATTCTCACACAAGAATGAACCTCTACCAGTGTAATACTGAACTAGAATGTGAGCCTTGACTTCTGTGCTCCAGTCTCTACAATGAAACTTAAACTCAGTACCTTATGAGTTTGAGACATGGGTGTTACCACCTAAATCACAGCAGACAACTCAAACCCCTAGCTTTCTACCAGTGCGCCAGTTGGCTAGGAGTCACTTATTTGAGATCTGATTTGCCATTTTGTTTCAAAAATAATAAACGTTACGGTTTAGGTCTTTATAAATTGCCTTCAAGGTAGTTGTAACTGGTATTATTTGTTTCAGGACCTAGCAGATGAGATGGCTCTGGTGGATGTAATGGAGGACAAATTGAAGGGTGAGATGATGGATTTACAACATGGTAGCCTCTTCCTTCACACTCACAAGATTGTGTCTGGCAAGGGTGAGTACAGGTTCAGTGGGAAAACTGAAAGGACACAATTATTGAGTGGACACTGAAATAATGTATTAACATGTGACTAAGCTTTGAATTGTTCATGGCTGTAAAATAGAGCTGAAAACAATTAGCAGTGCATGCACAAACTTATAGGGGTGGGCAGGTGGAGAGATGGTTTAGAGGAAGGAGTAATGATGCTCATTTGAAGAGCTGGTTGCAGGCACGAAGGGCTGAGTGGCTGCCTCCTGTGTCTCCACAATTGTGATTGCGTGGTAGAGGACACAAATGTGAAGCATAAACACTGGTATAAACCAGTTGACTGGTCTGTTTCTGTGCAAGGGCTTTGTAGTTTGTCAGCCTCCTAATGATGAAATAGGAACTTCAATTTATGGGCATAAGGCTTAGGGCCAGAATGTTGATGCATGTGCAAGTATTGTGTAACAGGGAGCTAAAGTGTGGTGCAAATGTTGCATACCATCAAGGTAAGCAATGAGGTGTGTAAATCCACTAGATGTTGATGTAGCTGTGTTGTTAATTTGGCAGATTACAGTGTGTCTGCTGGATCCAAGCTGGTTGTGGTCACAGCTGGTGCCCGGCAGCAGGAGGGGGAGAGCCGCTTGAATCTTGTTCAGCGTAATGTGAATATCTTCAAACATATAATTCCTGACATCGTCAAGAACAGCCCTGGTTGTATCATACTGGTTGTATCCAATCCAGGTGGGTATTTTTGTAACTTGGTACATAAATCTGGGATTTACTTTGGGCATGGGCGTAGGTAGGCATGGCCCTGATATGATTAAACACCCAGTTAGAAAAAAATTGCAGTTTCTCCACTTATTTGCGATTGGATAATTGTTTAAATTCTACTTTGCTCTGGTACAATTTTTATTCTGAAGTTATGCCTTTCATATCCTAAGGACAAATTAATTACTTTTATGATCTATGAAATTCTTTTTATAAAACTGACTTCTTAAAGTTAATAACTAGAGGGCATTAATTTAACAGCTTTAGTTGGAGCTGTCCTTGACCCAGTAATCCTTACTATTCCAGATTTAATCTCTCTAGTTTGTTAGTGTGTCAGTGCGACCTAATTCCATGGTTGCTTTCATTTGGTTTTAAAATCCTTGACTCAGTCCTGGCTTGCTTTATATCATTGACATACTTTGTCACAATATCATACCACTGTCTTTACTTCTCCTTTACTGGGATATTCATGACAGCCCAACTCTGCCTTGACGTGCCTCTGGTAGTTTTTTGCTTAGTTTCACTCCTCAATGTTTTAATGTCATCAGTACTTCTCCTGCAATGGCTTTTCCTTGTATGGTAACTCAAAGCTTTAACCTTGGTAATGGCATCTATTAGTCATGTTCTCATTTCCCAAGCCAAGCCTGATTGACCATCTCTACACCCTTACTACCATTAAGTATGCTGCAGATTGTTCTTTTGTATTAAAACGTTCCTGCATGTCCACAATTTTGCAAGTTACTACTGACAAATAAAGCAATCCTATTATCTTCATCAAAACACAAGCATCTACCTTCCCTCTCCTGACTACTTTAAGATTGAATCTGATGATTTTGGATCCTACCTGAGTTTGAAGAGTTTCGCTTGTGTCTGCAATGCAATTCATTTAAGATTTTGTCTACAGGTACTTCCTTACATGTACTCCACCTTCAGGTCTACTTGTTGCTAGTGCTTCCTCTGTTCTTTCAGTTTTGGCCTTTCACTTTTACTTACACTTGAGCTTCAGTGGTAGTGTCTTCAGCTTGTAATATGTAGTAACTCAGTATAGAAAGCACAGGGATGTCAAGCTGCTGGCCTGTAGTTTGGAGAGGAAGTAGAGAGGGTAGCTCAATCTGCATGTGGGTATTTACTTTTCATTTTCAAGCAGAATGGACTGTCACTGAGGAATCTGAATGAAGAGGTTAAGTGAAAATGAGTTGGTGGGGTACAGGAGAAGACAAAAAATAACTTTCCTGATGGAATGTGCTAAACCAGCTATTCACATTAAAGAGCACCATCACTATGGAAACTGCATACTGTTCATGGTAAAGCTGCCTCCACAACAAAAGGTTCAGTTTGTTTAGTCATGTGTTAGAATGAGATTAAAAGGATCAATCTCTAATGAAGGCATTAACTGTTTAAGTGCTGGAATTAACAGGAAGGTATTAGTGGCAATCAGAAATGGGAGTAGTAGAACAATGTCCTTTTGAGCTGCTCCACTATTCAGTCATTCATTGTGATAATATCTCGTAGTGGGTCTCCTTCAAACAACTTAGGTAAAATGAATGAGTGAATTTATCTCAAAGTTATCCATTTACTAGAGAATTTCAGAAAGCTTATTTGGCTCCAGACAGAGTACAAGTTTCTCTGTATAGTTTGGGATAGGGTTGGGGCAAGATGTTGCCTTTGAGGATTATTCTACATAATTACATATTTCTTTCTTTTTCCACTAGTGGACATTCTGACCTATGTGGCATGGAAACTGAGTGGCCTTCCTATGCACCGTATTATTGGCAGTGGCTGTAACCTAGACTCAGCTCGGTTCCGATACCTCATGGGAGAGAGATTGGGAATCCACAGCTCCAGCTGTCACGCCTGGGTCATTGGTGAACATGGAGACTCAAGTGGTATGTCTGTAGGAGACAGTGCAATTTATGCTTAAGGTTACAGTAGAAATTGAAGTAGGTCAAATGTCTTGTGGCTGGTTAGCATAGAAACAAATAGCTCTATCACTGACTCACTTAGTTTGTTTCCAGAAATGTCTGCTGCTTGATGTTAGTCACTTTGAATAATACCAGCAAACATTTTTGGCTGCCTACACTGTATTGAGTGTAACTTGTGAACAGCACATATGTGATTGCTATACTACTTGGCTGTACTCACAGGACAAGGGTTACTCTGTCCCATCCCATAGAATTACCCAGTAATTCATTGTAATTTTTTTCAACTGCAGTAGTTATTGAAAGGTTGAGGTAATATAATCTGGTTGTTTTATCTGGAATTTAAACAAGGATCTCACAGCCAAGATATAAAATTAGAAATCCTGTATGAAATTACAGATCCGGTGTAGGATAATCTTTAGTTTATTTCAGTCAGTCAGTTTAAAAAAAACATACACTGTCTACTTCAGAATAACATTTGTAATTCCCTAATGATCAGCTTGCATCAAGATCAGTTTTAGACTGCATTGTTAAATTACTTAAGACTTGGAAGGAGCAGAAGTTTATTTTGCAGAACCCTGTAAACTACGAAATAAAAAGACCAGATCATCTGTCAAGTCAGTTCTGTTTGGTTAAGTTAGCTAAGCATCACAACTCGTAGTGTTCCTCTCCCACCAGCTGCTATGTAATCTCAAGCAAATGCTAACGATACTCAGCTGGTCTGGTAGCAATTTAGGAGGGAGAAAAACAGTCACTGTTTCAGGTCAATATTCTTTCATCAGGCTCCCACAAATGCCCATCCTGCAATTTTCTTGGAAAGCTTTTTCCCTGAAAATAAATTAATATCTGGGCAATTTCACTTCATTGCTGAAAATGAACTTCAGGAGATGATGGGGTGTATGAAGTATGCTATCCAACAATCCATCTGTCCTTTCCATGTAGTAATATCTTGTTATATGGAGAAACTATAGTGGGACTTCAAACACCCTTAGAACCATCTTGAAAAGACTTTGACATAACACAGCTGATGGAAGGAGTAGGCCTGCTTGGTCATTTGTCCTTTTCTGTTGTTCAGGAATCCTTTCAAATGAGTTCCATTCCATCTCAAAGAACAGTTTTTGTTTTTTTTTCCAGACTTCATTTGGACTTGCATAACAGAATATGATGAATGCTGGACTGCATTGGTGCTGTTAGTTTATTCACCCTGATGCTTTGTTTTATCATAGTGCCTGTGTGGAGTGGTATGAATGTTGCAGGTGTGAACTTGAAGGAACTCCATCCTGCGATAGGAACTGACCATGACAAAGAGAATTGGAAGAAGGTGCACAAGGATGTAGTGGACAGGTGAGAGCTGGAGTGACTGACAAATTTGTACAGTGATCATTAACAAAACTTAATAGTCACATTTATACTGAACCAAATGAACTTACTGTACTGTACTCCATAATATAAACTCAACTGACTTTTTCAAGTGGACTTCTTTGGAATACAAGAGAACAGTGTTTTTGTATGTACATATAAAAATGAAGCCCTTGTTTTTATTGCTTTTTCCGCAGTGCTTATGAGGTGATAAAATTGAAAGGATACACTTCCTGGGCTATTGGGATGTCTGTGGCAGACATGGCAGAGACTATTATGAAGAACCTGAATAAGGTGCACCCTGTATCCACAATGGTTAAGGTAAGAAGTGCGTTTTGAATTTGACAGGCTGTGGGACTTGTGACTATGAACTGAACTGTTTGCATCATCTGGCCTACTTAACTAAGATAAGAGGGCATAAGATGCAGGGAGAGGAAAGTTGAAATGACATTAACTGAGTGATAATCCTGTTTTCTTTTTCCTGTAGGATTTACATGGTATTAAAAATGAAGTTTTCCTGAGCCTTCCTTGTGTTCTGAATAACCGTGGAATTTCTAATAGCGTGAAGATGTTGCTGAAACCTGATGAAGAAGCACAGCTGCAAAAGAGTGCTGCAACCCTGTGGGACATTCAGAAAGACCTGAAATTCTGACCTTCTTTCTATCCTTCCTCTGTAGCAGTAACTGCAGCAATGTTACTACATGAAGCCCCTTATCTGCTGTCTTGTGATGACCGTTTTGTGACCATGAATTGCCAGACTTGGAGAACCTCTTGTGTAGTGACTGTTTGCTAGTCAGACCACTGTCTTCCTCACCTGCACACCTCACTGCTGTTAAAGTATTTATGTAAAATCAATTGATTTTTAAAAGAAAATAAAGTTCGATCAACTATCTGTCATGTGTTTAAGTGTCATGATGACACACAGAATTTTATAAACTGGAGTTTATGGAAGGCTTTGCACAAGTTGAATGTAGAAGTGACATTGAGGGCTTTGACACTGGTTGGGCATAAGCCATGCCAGTTACAGAAGTGCAAGCAGTTTTCTTTGAATCTTGGATTATGTTCAAAGGATGCAAAGCTTTGCATAAGGATGAATTTCAGTAACCAGAAAAGTGGATAGTGGAAGTACCAAGGGCCTGAAGTTATTTTGCTTTTCTCAAAAGGCATTTGGAAGATATTTCAGCTCACCCCCAAGTCTCATAACTGCCTCTATGCTATAGAGAAGATCCAGTGCAAAGACAAAGGACAAAGGAAAAGCCATAGCCAGAGTTGGACTGACATAGGGAAGTTCCAGAGAGCTGGACAAAGTGAGTCACATGAGATAGCACCATGAAATTGAAGTTCTTTCAAAATGATGGTCAAGCATATATATATATATTAGAATCGACTGTCAAAAGCTGAAGAGGTTTTGGTTTTCTTATTGTCTTGGGTAAGAGGTCGACTGCTTCAGTAAATTTTTTTTAACACTGCACTTGAAAAGAACACCTTGGTATTTAAAGAAGCTTTATTCCAATTTCTAAATTGCTTGTCCTCAAGATTACAGGTAAATACAAAGACCCTTGACAAAAAATCAGAAAGTAAATAATTTACAGTTGAATACACAATAACTTATTTTTTTCTATGAAACTGGTTAGTTATAGACATGACTTGAGTCAAAAAGAATAGCTTAGTACAAGTCACTTAGGCCAGCTGTTTTCCTTGCTTTCTGCATCAATGCTCGAAGCTGGAACTGTTTACGAGACAACAGCCTTACGTGCTGCAGAGAAAGAACGAAACATATGACTTTTGCACTGACAGTAAAATGCAAGCTTACAAACAGTACTGTGGTTCAAAAGCAGGTTTTTTAAAATTCCCAGAATAACAACTCAAATGATAGTGTGTCTGGCTTGAAAGTTCCTCATTCTAAGTTCATCCTAATTACAATGAGGGATCTTAACCTTGAGCAACAAAGCAGAGCTTCCAAAGGCATCTAGACATACAGTAAAGTTTCAATGTGCCCAATACTTTATTATATGGCGACCTGGGATCAAATATTGCCATTGCGGTTTACTGGTTATATCATGATCTATGAATTTGCCAGATTGTGTAACTTAAGACTATAAACTGCCAGATATCTTGCATAGTAAAAAGGGCAATTAACCTAACTTGAACATTGGGAGTAGAATTAATATTAAACAGATTGCATCTGTTGTGATAATTTAAATGGACGAAACAAACACAAGGTTCTTGAATTCTATGGCAGGTTGATGCTGAAACAAAAGATTGGTCATCACCAACAAATGCCATACAAGAGAAAATGGTGGCAGAGGTTGAGATTTGCAACAGTAGAACTCCATGTTGAGACTGGAAATTCATAAAGTGACAAACTGAAAGATGAGGTGTTGTTCCTCATGGGGCTTCAGTAGAACAATGACGGAAACCAAGGAAAGAGGGGGAGCAGGCAGAGAATTAGAATAACAGGTGATCTGAGCTCTGGGTCATAAAAATGACAAGAGTAAGAACTCCAATTTCAACCTCCCCCTTAATCAGGAGCAGCAGCATGCAATCAACACTATTAAGCAATACCACGACCAACACAAAGCTCTGCCACTGATTGGTGGAGGACAGTTCAACAACTAACCAGAGGTGCAAAATCACCATCATCCCAGAGGACCATAAGACTGTACTCATTAGTGAGGGACACTGGTGTTAGTTAAATTGGATGGTCACTATGCTTCAGGCAGGGGGAGAGGTTGACAGGTTGGCCCTTCATGGTAACTCCAACTGATGCGGAAATTGAACCTGCACTGTTGGTATCGCTCTACAATCAAACCAGCCAACTGAGCTAACCCAGCTTCAAAGCAGTTCCTCAAATGATGGGGAAGCCCAGCACATCAGTGCAAAAGACAAGACTGAAGCATTTGTAACTACCCTTAAACAGGGTGCCAAGTTAACTGTCTATTTTGGCCTCTTTGAGGTCCCCATCACTAGAAAAGTCTTCAGCCAATCTGGTTCTTTTCACATAATATCAAGAAATGTCTGAAGACACTTAATATTGCAAAGGGTATGGACCCTGACAACAGTAGTGCCAAAGACTTCTGCTCCAGAATTATCTGTGCACCTGGCTAAACTGTTCCACTACATTTGGCATCTTTGCTGAAATGTGGAAAGTTGCTCAGATATTTTCTGAATTCAAAAAGCAGGACAAATTCACCCTGGCTAGTTACTGCCCTAATCATCAGCAAAGTGGTGGAGAGTATAGTTGACAGTGCTTTACACAACACTTACACAGCATTAACCTACTCAGTGATGCTCAGCAAAGGTTCCACTAGGGTATTTCAGCTCCTGACCTCCTCACAATCTTGGACCAAAAAAGGGTAAAGTTGAAAACTGAGGTGAGTGACTGCCCTTGACATCAAGGCAGCATTTAACTGTGTGTGGCATCAGGCAGCTCTTGCAAAGCTGGAATCAATGGGAATCAGGAGAGGAGGAGGAACTCCTGTTGGTTGGAGTCATGACTAGCACACATGATGTTGTAATCTGATATTTGTAGCTATTGGAGGTCAATCATGTCAGATCCAGGACATTGCTGCAGAAGCGCGTCAGAGGAACGTCCTCGGCTAAGATATCTTTAGCAGCTTCAATGATTCTCCTTCTCTCAAGATTAGAGGTCGGGGATGTTCCCTAATGATTTCATACTGTTTAGTACCTTCAGCAACTCCTCAGATACTAAAATACCCTACCATCCATATGCCGAAAGAGCTATACAAAATGTTTGGAGGAAGAGGATGCTGATGAGTACCAAATAACATGTGCACTGCATAAGTGCTAGACAATGACCATCTCTAACAAGAGAGAAGCAAGCCATTGTTCTTCGATGTTCAAAGGCACTACCATTTCTGAATTCCCTACCATCAACATTCTAGGGGCCTATCATTGACCAGAAGGTGAATTGGGCCAGCTGCTTCATCAGTCGGTGACACTACTTGCATTCAAAACAGCATGTGATTATTTAAATAGAGAAAATTGCAAAGTTGTGGGAAAAGAACAAAGAGTAGGACAAATTGAATAATTCAACCAATGATTCCATACAGACACAATAGGCCAAATGTTACCTATAATGGGACAATTCAGCCAAAATCATTGTCAGCTCCATTTGCTTTTAACCAAACATATCCAAGTAAACTTGATAACAACTTCAATAAAATCAAGCTATATAGCACCCCTAATGTGGTTTTTAAAAAAAACTATCTCCAAAGCATGGTTTAAAAAGAACCAGCAAGAGGGGCAAGGCTATTTTGGGATGGAATTATAAAGCTTAGACATTGGCAGGTGAAGGCACAGTCACCAGTGGTGACTCCAAGTGGGTGCTCACAGGGACAAAAATTAGAGGTGTTCAGTAATTCAGAGTGTTGAGGAATAAGAAGAGATTACAGTAATAGGGAGTGACAGGCTATGAAGTGATTTGAAAATAAGGATGGGAGTATTTTTAACAATTGTATAGCGTTGTCTAACCAGGAGCTAAATGTAGATCAGTAGTGTCAGATAAGTCGTCTGTCAATTTGGAAAGGGGAAGGGACAAAAGAGAGGATGGTAAAGTGGGATGCCAGAGTACATGCAGACACTGATGTCATATTTCACAGGGTATTGTTGCGAGAGGCAATATGCATCTGCTTTGCAGTTTCAGATTCAAGTTAAATTTATTGAGGAACAAAGTGGACCACACTGTTTCAACAATTATTGTCAGGACTCCCCTGCATATCTTTCTTGTGTGACACAACCCTGTTAAACATCCTGTCAGGTGTACTGAGACCATTCAAGAGTGGTTGGAGAAAATAAATAATCACCATGTCAGCTTGGTTTTTAATTACCTTCAAGAAGACCTCCAGATCAATGACATCACGTCTCAGTGCTTCACCCAAGTAGAAAATGGTGTCCTCAATGGCATTCTCCTCTGCATAAAGATTAAGGATCTGTTTATAGAGGGGAGCTGTTGGTACAACCACCTCATCAATATCGTTGTTTTCAGACTGGCTTTCCATTTTCTCCAGCGCAATGCTCAGCTCATCATCTTTTTTCCTTAGTACTTCAATATTCTTCTCTACATCAGCCTAGGAAAATGACAGGTTTTCAAGTCAATGAAACCTCAAATGGTATAAACAGCTACAGCAATCAGATTCTTATAAAATATTGTGGAGTCAATATGATAAAATCCAGGAATATAACTCAATCCATGTGGTAATTTATGGGACAGATTTCAAATATATCTAAGTCAGAACTGTACTTGGACAGTGTTCATATCAATCCAATAACTGAAAAAATCTTTTTGAAACGAGGTACATAGAACAAAAAAAAAAGGGTCACTACACTGCTTCACATTATGGGATCCAATCTGGAAAAGGAATGGAAAGGAAAAGAAATTTGTTTCAGTTTGTACCCAAGTATTTTGCTGGTGCCAGCATCAGCAAACATGTATGCAAATTGGCTGATAGCTGTTGTGTGCGCTAAATTATAGGTCATATTGCAACCATTTATTGTACATGCTAAATCCAACTTCAATGTGGCATCTCTGTACAAAAAAAGAAGGTTCATCCTACACATTCACTGATAAAATCCAAATATTGAACTGAGTTCAATGTTTGAGGTGACATTTCTGGGCTATGTTTTATTGTGTTAGTGATGAGACCTGTCACTACCATGTTAAATTACTGGTTTGGGAAAATAGTAATCCTCTTCTGGATTCTTACCATTTCTTGGTCCAAGTTACTGACCATCATCTCCAACTTTTGATGGCCTTTTTTCAAGTCTTCTTCTGTTCGTTTAAGGGCATCAAGTTCAGCCTGAGCACGGTCCATTTCTTCTTTCATCCTCCAGCGCAGTTTATCACTAACTGCAGAGATCAATGATGCACGAATCATATCTTCAGTGATGGTGCCATCTCTGGCAGGACCTGCAACACAAACTACATGTCAGTCCAAGTACTATGGCATCTGAAAATTATTCAGGGAACTATATGTCTTAAACAAAGAGACATTATTGCATACTTCAATCTTTGAGATTTGGAGCAGATTCCAAAATGGTCATTTGGATACCTTTTCTCTGGTCATTTCAAGAGTCAAGAGAGGGGCAGAGATAAAGTTTATTACTTTTTCAAATTACCTTCATTCTTAATAAACACTTCAGAGAAATCAGCAAAGAATTATAAGTTTTAAGGCTGGGTTTCTGTGAAAGCCAATGCAGCCACTTTAAAAAAGCACCTGCTGTTAAAAATAGTGCATCGCAAGAACTTAAAAAAATTGAAAACCATAAGTTGCACAAATATCAATACACAGGAAAAGTGGTTTAAAAAATTCATTGACCAGGTTCAAATTACAGGATAAAAATACTAAAAATTAATAAAATAAAACTCTCATTTCTCATCTTATAACTGAGGGAAGGTCATTGATGAAACAGCTGGAGATGGTTGGGCTGAGGACACTACCCTAAGGAATACCTGCAGAAAGGTCCTGAAACTGAGATGACTGATGTCTAACAACCATGACCAATTTTCCCTTGTGTCAGGTATGACTGCAACCAGTGGGATGCTCCTCTCTGGTCCCAATTTTCACTGACTCCAGTTTGGCTAGGCCTCCTTAATGCCACTCTGTCAAATGCAGCCTTGCACATCAAGGGTGGTCACTCACACCTCACCACTGGAATTCAGGTCTTTTGTCCATTTTTGAACCAAGGCTGCATAAGGTCTAGAGCTGAGTGACCATGGCAGAACCTAAACTGGCCATCAGTAGGCAGGTTAATGCTGAGCAAGTGCTGGCAGATAGCACTGTTGATAACCCCTTCCATCATTTATACTGATGATCAAGAGTAGACTAACAGAGCGGATAACTGACCAGGTCGGAGTTGTCCTGGTTTGTGTGTATTTGACATACCTAGGCAATTTTCTAAACTGTTCGGTAGATGCCAGTGTTTGGCTGTACTGGAACAGCTTGGCTAGGGGTGCAGCAAGTTCTACAGCATGTCTTCAGTACTATTGCCGAAATGTCGTCAGAGCCCATAGCCTTTCCAGAATCCAGTACCTCTAGCTGTTTCATGTTATGACATGGAGTGAATTGAGTTGGCTGAAGACTGGCATCTGCGATGCAAGACCTGTGGAGGAGATCATCCACTTGGCACTTCTGGCTGAAGATTTTTGCAAATGCATCAGCCTCATCTTTTGCACCAGTGCTGGACTCCCCAGTCAATGATGCTTGGGATATTTGTTGAGCTTCCTCCTCCAATGAGTTGTTTAATTGTCCCCCATCATTCATGTGGCAGGTCTAGGTTTGATCCAGTGGTTGTGGGATCACTTAGCCCTATCACTTGTTGCTTATGCTATTTAGCGTGCGAGTTGTCCTGTTTTGTAACTTTGTTAGGTTTACAGCTCATTTTTAAGTATGCCTCGTTCTGCTCCTGACATGCTGTTTGCACTCCTCATTGAACCAAAGTTGATCCCTGGTTTTAATGGCAATGATTGAGAGGGATATGCCACGTGGTTGCAGATTGAGGAGTACCATTCAGCACCTGATGGCCCACATCTCAGATGCCCAATACTGGTAGATCTGATTAAAGTTGCTCCTATTTAGCAGGGTGAGTGTCACATAACACGAGGAAGAGTATCCTTATTGTGAAGATGGGACTTCATCTCCACAAAAACAGCATGGTGGACAGTTGCACCTATCCTATCATGGATGATGCATGTGCAATAGACAGACTGGTGAAGATGAGGTCAAGTATGTTTTTTTCCCTCGTTTATTGTTTTACCAGTTGCCATGGACCCAGTCTAGCAGCTATGACCTTTACGACCCAACTAGCTTGGTCATTGGTGGTGCTGTGTCACTTTTGGTGATGGACATCAAAACCACCCACCCAGCGTATGTTCTGTGCCTTTGACACCATCACTGTTTCCTCTGATTGGTGTTCAAAACGGAGGTGTATTGATTCATCGGCTGAGGGAGAGCAGTATATGGTACGTAGCAGGTGGTTTCCTTGCCCATTTGACCCGATACCATGAGACTTCATGGAATCCGGATTCAATATTGAGAACTCCAAGGGTAACCCCCTCCTGAACTTATATCAGCGTGCCTCAGGATGTTTCAGAGATGATAACTGTGTGTTTGCGACAAGGTCTGCAGGATATCATTCCAGCAGTATGAATAGGTTAGGCCGTTGCTATTTCAATAAAATAAAAAAATTGGTCCTGGGATGTGGGCATCGTTGGCTAGGCTGGACTAGTCTGGGATAGCTCTCCAAGTGTTTGCATCAACTCCCAGATGTTGATAAGGAGGACCCTGCAAGGCCGTCAGGGCTATTTGTGCTGTTTTTAGTTACTGGAGGTTTGATGCTGGTGGCCTACCCAGTTTAATTCTTTTTTGAGACCTTTCAGTAGTTAATATGACTGTGACTAGACTGTTTCAGATGACTGTTAAGAGTCAACCACATTGGGTTTGAAATCACATGGAGACAAGAGCAGGTAAGGATGGCAATTTTTCCTTTCCCAAAGAATCAGCTGGATATTTGTAACAGTCGGCAATGGTTTCATTTGGCTTTTGAATTTAAGAGACATCTGAAATTAAATTATACCATCACCTCAGAACTAGGGGTGGATGTAAAAGGTGGGTTGGAATAAGAGCATTTTAACAAAGTTATTTTTTAACATATAAAATCATAGAACTTTCCTTAATTTTCTATTAGGACAAATCACTCGTACTAACAAAATCACTCGTACTAACAAAATCACTCGT